AATCGTTTTTGTGTCTTTGCATTCCTGATATTCAAGCATCTTTTGGACATTGTTATCAACATTATGAAATATATCAATCAAATACACATATACATGGCATGATATTGTCTAATTGAGAACTTAATAATTGTAGTATATATCACGCATTATTTTTAATGTGTTTATTATATATTAATTTTGAGATGTATGTTGTGTTCTTGAATAAATAAATAAATAAATGGTGCATTAACACTGTGAATATATTTGTGTAAATAATTTTACATATATATATAATAAAATCTGAATTATACTGTAGCCTAAATTTCTAATATTTTTTTTTCGTACCTACGAAATAGTTTATTACATAAAACATATATATTATATATACGTTTGTATATACGTATATATTATTGTAATTATTTTTGTTGCAACAATTCAAAAGCAGTTTCTAATAACGACATTAAATATGTGTACTGTAATACGTGTATTAATAATTGTGTCAGATAAAATTATGATGTAATTAAATGCATTTTTAATCTACAACTTGTAATATAAAGTAATTCCCATTAATTCAATTTTCATCTAGTATATACAATTTTAAGTATATTTTGGTATCTAATAAAACGTATTTAATTTATACTGTTTCTTCATGACTAGTAACATCAGTCGGAGGTTCATGAGATCCAATCATTTCAGCTCTTCTTGCAAACTGAATAAAGAGCTGTTCCAGAGTTGCAGATAAGACAGCGTAATCCTCAATGCAACTATATTTTTGCTTCAAACTCTTCATTGTATCATACATTTTTTCCCATGTTGTATTACAATCAGTTACATGATAAGCAAGAAAACCCTATAAAAAAAATGAATAAAAATTAAGAGTAAAATAAAAGCAAATTAAAGCAATTAATTGTTGTTATTTAAGCAAAGCAAAATTGTTACCAAATTTTCGTCTCTAATATCGCATGTTAGAGTAGACTTAATAACTTTCTTAATATTGTTAACATCCTCATCCATTCGGGATGGATTTAATTTTACATGAATATCGTAACCCGCTCCAAATCGCTGCTTCAATTCTTGACACGCACCAATGCAGACTAATTCACCTCTCACCATGATAACTAGTCGATTACAAAGTGCTTCACATTCTTCCATGCTGTCGAACAATATAATTTTAATATTTCATTCAACAAAATGAACTAGAGATCGGAAGAGCACACGTCTGAACT